TTTTTGGTTTCCATAGCTTACACATTTGATGTCCCTACACATGTAAAACAAACCTTGATGGGAAAACAAATTGATGTGCGATAAACAAGCTTGAAAATCTTTGCTTTTACTTCATGGACGTTTTCTAGGAGTTTATGTTTTTCAAAATACAAGGTCTTTAACAAAAATAACGTATACTTATTATCGTCGGATTAACACCAAAATTTCACAGCTTTAAGGTGACAGTGAGAGGAACTTGAATGTGTCCAGACAAACTATTTCATCGATTATTTACCAACGAGTTGTGGTTTGAGTTGGAGGCAATGCGACTAAAACAGTAATTGAAATTCAGCACACTATTTTTTAAAACGCGTTGCTTGAATAAAACTGACCAGACACATTCAATTTACCAGACTATTGAACAACTAGGAAAAGTGAAAAAAATACTTCTTATCGCCAGCATAAATGCGTAATTATTTTTTTTACAGAAAAAGTAATTTTTCACCTTTGGTTGAGTAACGCGTCGTAGAATGCAGATACGGGCATGCAAAATACACTTGTGAAAAGCTTGAAGTCTGGCAATTCTAAAAAATATATGCTTTCCCGGGTCTATTTGTAGTCATTTAGTCACAATTAGAAGATGAAAACAAGTATGCAAATAATAGTCCCGCTACCTTAATTTGCAAGACTCCTCTGTTTTAAAATGAGCAAAATGACTACCATTACTGTCTGCATAACGTGACAGACCGTTATCATCGCTAATAATCATTCGGTGGGGGGGGGGGCTTATAGCATAGACCCTCTACTGGAGGGTCTATGCTTATAGTAAAGAATTGATATTTCAGATACAAGTGTACAGTTATCTAATATGTGTGCGTGAAGTACAGAAAACGGTGACTTAGAACTCTGATATATAGTTTCCATGTCCTGTTTTTACATGTCAGCATTTTCGTTTTTATCTTAGGGGTTGGAATGTATATTGCGACGCTAATATCTCTATCTGCAGAGCCAGCCACTGACCAAAAGTATACGACAACTAGCAATAATTTCAGTATTCCCGTGCGACAAACCAGAGAAAACTGGAAGAGCTTTTTTACTATTTATTTAAGTAGGCGGTTTGTATTCCAATTCACTTATTAAACATAGTCTGGTTATTGTAAATTATCTTTAACGGCCATGATAGCGTAGCTTTATGTCTATGAAATGCATGTTTGACTTTTTGGCAATCTTTCTAAATATCTGGAAATAACTTTCATTTCAATTCAATTCCGATTCTTGTTGACTGTCTATGCCGCAAATTATGCTAAATTTCCCATCTGCTAGTACCTACATACAGTTCAGATTTGCCCTACCTTTCGAGCGGAGGGATACAATATACACCGAATAGAAATTTGCGGTTTACAGTGAACCATAAGAATACATGCGCATGAGTACAAGTGGTTTACATTCTACATAAGAATACAAGTATGTGGTTTACAAACTCCGAAGAGTACAAATGTGCGGTCTATTATCTACACGTGAATACAAGTGTTGCAGTTTACAAGCTGAGTTCACGAGAAATGAGTCATTGTTACTGCATATCCCCACTCGTTTAGAGTGACTGTATCAATTATAAAATATGTGCATAAAATTAAAAGTAGCTTATTATGCACTATTTGACTTCCAATGAGTTTAGACAAGCGAACCAAGTCAAATTGAACGAGCCTGGAGATGTTTCATGCATGTGCTTTCTGTAGATATTGCATTCATGGACTCACTCAAGGATTATTGATTCGAGATACTTTGTAACAACTTTGCGGGGCAAAAGTTTAAGGTTAGTGGTGGCAGGGATTGGCGAATGGGATGAGGTGATTAAAACACGAACCAGTAAATTTCAAGAACAGAGGGTGCTACTTTGCAAACAGTGTCATGGGGAGACACATGTTAGAAATACTACTATTGAACAGCATTCTTTGGAACAATGTGCATGTACTACATGATAGAAAACTCTAGTAGGTTAATCGTAGTCTGTATTCAATATATCCAACATATATCTAATATATTAACAAGATTACCTACTACCATTCTCAATATATTATATTTATCGGTCCTAACAGCTTTTACCAATTATCAATCAAACAATATGACGGCCAGTCATGGGTTTCTATAGGTTTATGGTTATCATTGTATAGATCAAGTTTGCGTTCAATCAGTTAATGAGTAACTAAAATGATCCATTTCCCGAATATGTGACCTGATGTGTTATTGATTTTATTGAAAATACAACACCTAAAATACAAGCAAGAGACTGCAGGCATGTGTGCATTGACTACAGAAAACAATCTTTGTATACAACTCAGTCGATCTTCTCATTCTTATTTATAGAACAAGGTCGTGACCTTTTTCTAATACATATACTGTCAGAGGTTTAATAGACACACCCTCTCTCTCTATTAATCTGTACGACGCTTGACTCAAGCCAGTTCGGGCATTCGCTCAAATAAAATTTCCAAATCTCGCGACATCGGCGATTCTCGTGAGAGAGTGAGAATGAGAAACACCCATCTCCTGCCTCCGTTCATATATGTTGTCCAATTTACAGTAAGTAATCGAAGGACACAGGCCAGTCACGCAACAAATGCAGACTCTCTTTCCCACTGTTACCAGAAATGATGCGTTTCTCGGCAACCACGAGGTGTTCGATGTGTGAAGCAAGCAGCTGTAATTTATAAGTGACGTACGCCGGGCGTCGCTCAGATTTTCGCGTCTAGTCTGTCACCTGTGCTGTTATGGCGAAGAAAGGTATACGTTGGAATTGCCAACCCACGATTACGTGGTTTGCGGCGATTTGTATGTTTAGTGTGGTAGTCATTCTGTACACATACATCCATCACATACCACTATTCGTCAGGTATGCCAGACGGCAGTATAATGCCGCAGGTCTCAATGCGTAAGTATATGCACAGATGCCTTATGCTATATGAGCACTTCATTCTCTGTTAACACAATACCATAATTGTTTACCGTCATTGTAAGATACGTTATTTTCTGCACATTTTCATTGACATGTGTATACTCGATTCTCAAAAACTGCCCGTGGTATTCGGTTAATTCCCAAATCTAACACTTCGAGAGAGGTTTTGGACGGCGTAATTATATCTCTGCGCATACACAATCACGCATGATATTCGTAGACTGCACATTCGACCGATGTAATCATGGTGCAAAACATCTTAGTTTCTCCTAAAAGTCTATCTGAATTATAGTATACCTAAACAAAATATACCCCCCCCCCCATAATGTGAAAGAAATGTGTTTAAAGGCTCTGAAAAATTAATATAAACATGTGTCCGATCTTTTGGATAACCTGTTTAATCCTGGGCACGTTTTGAACATCGTGCCATGCAAGATAGTTACACGAAACGTCGTCGCATCTCACACTGCACTGTCTCATAATAATTTTGAATTGCGATCTGCATAATGTTGTCATTATAACGAGTTTTTTCTCGTTATATCGAGATTGTTCTCATTATATCGATTTCATTTGCAATATCATAACGAGGCATTTTTTTGTTACAATAATCTTGCTATTAGTCACATAATTATTTCCCTTAAAACCAGGCGAAAGTGACGACAATGACAATTATAGTATTTATGTAGATTGTTGTGAAAGACTTGCACTGCACTAAATTTGTATGAGTAGACGTGTTGACGACATCCATCCCTCCGATGACGAAATCCGTATATGGTGTAAATGGTTGTGAGAAAGTTGTTAAAAATAGCGTTTTTTAAAGATTTAGTATACTACAAAAAAACGTATGACTTCACAGCCAGTTAAATTTATGTATTTGACCGGCACTAATACTTTACGTCATTTACGTCATTATGGCGTCACAGAAGCGCTTCGACGATAGAGGGCGCGACCTCAATCTATTCATGTATATCAATTGCCAGGCACAATCATGCAGATGGTAAAATGCGACTAGTGAAGAGAATTGAATCTAGAGCGGCAAGGAAAAGAAGATTACAAGATGAACTTCAAAAGAAGTTGACAGATACGTTGGAAAAGCTACAAGTATGGAAACGAAATATAACTGCAGCGAAGTACATTAGGTGGGTGAGCCGAGCGAGTGTATGATGTGAACGGGCGGACAGGGGGGGCGAATTGGTAGCTCAATTAGAGAATTTGGGTGTTGGATCAATGAGCGCGCACTTAAGTGGATCTGCGGGTTTTCGAAAATAATTCAGGAGTATCCTAAACGACCGTACGAATTCGCCAACGTCAACTGCATCCTTATCGATAAATTGCGTATGGCATGTTCGTAAGTTGTTTTATCAGTTTTGCTGGCAGGTTTTCTTCTATCAATTTTGGGTTTTGGGTGTAACAAAAGAATCAAGCGACTGAACTCGTGACAGGACGCACTGGAGTGACGTCAGAAAAATATCGATCTACCGAAAACTTTATTACATTTGTTTATTTTATAGAAATGAAATTGACATTAATAATGGAACATCATTCATCTTCACCAAAGAAAATTCCCCAGCTGGTAGAGAATATTACAACTCTTTTCAAAAAAGTCCCGTGACTATTGACGAATTTAAACGGGAGCTTCTACCACAGGCAAGTAATTGTTCAGGTTGTAAAGCGTGATCACGACACGCCTGGGACAACACGAGATCACGAGGCTTCTTATCATAGCCTTTTTTCTAAGTAGTAATCCACCGTTCGGGCAAAACTCATGATCCATCTCTTTATGTGTTGCCCGTTTGTGAAAGATAGCGCTCGAAGAAGTTGTGTTTTGCAACGAATATTATTTATAAAAATGCTATTTTTAAGAACAGTTCTATAGAAAACATTTATTATTAAGCAAAATGGCGTTATTTTCAATTTGCAAAGCTCAGAATTTTCAAATTACCCCTACCTGTCAAGATATACTCGTATTTGTTTTCACTATATGTGCCACCATCAGACATTGTGAGATAAGACAAAGTATCTCCATCGAGAAACGTGACATCTAATAATGTCAACATGGTAATCAATCAAAACATATAATTATCATTAATTTGGAAAATAGACCGATGTTTATAGTCAATTTAAATAATGGGTATTTTAATAATTAGATGTCCACTCTAACAAGCTAATCCTGTTTCATGTTGTTATTCACACGTAGTTGAATATATTATAAGTGGATCCTCTGAAAAATATAATTCTACTGTCTTTATTTGTTTGCAGTCGACGCCGTTTTCGAACATGTCTTCTTTCAACGCTTGCGCAATAGTTGGGAATGGCGGAATACTAAAGAATAGTTTCTGTGGGAGAGAAATAGATAGTCATGATTTTGTTATGAGGTAAGCAGTTTTGTATACGATAAATTCACTAGTTTTTTTTTGTTTTTTTTTTTGTTCTTTCGTTTTTTTTAAGAATTCACAACATTTATTTTCACTGTGTAAACACGTATATTTCGGGGGATTTCAACGATAATTGAGATAAAGAGTTAATTGGGAACTAATGGGCATTTAAACGCATTTTTTTATGCACGGCAAGTCTGTAATGGATGCAATCCCTGACATTCGTGACTATTATCTCGAATAACGCTACTTGAAGCAACGAAATGACTGTATTCGGAAAAAGCATAGGCAATCATTCGTTCATGGTTGTAGCTGACGTGATTAGAAATTTTCTAGAATGAGATTCGTGATATTTTGTAACCTTCGGATGCGACAATGTTGTCTATATTCTTGTATATGTTTTCCGAATTTGATGAAAATAATTTATAAATATTCAGGGCTACTGAATTGTTGTTTTTTAGCATATGTAAATTGAACACACTGCATTTAACAAGGTCACCTTCATGTCTCTGACTGGACTGACCCTTATTGTAACCAGACATCTATAATTAGGTTTTTTAAACTCATTAAAACACCCGGATGTTCTATTTTTATTTTGCAAGCATCAACTTTACTCTCTTTCCTCATGTATGAATATATCACAAAGATGAATATGAAGGGTGGTGATCGTTGGGCATGCGCATGGGCGATATATTGGATCCATATTAACACACACTGCGAATTTGACTGGTACGCAGATAGTCGCGTACAAAAAGAACATAACCTAGATTCATATTTGCGATGTTCTATATCTATATAACTCAGTTTAATATGTTTATGGTATATATTAAATATTTGTATATATCTGCGATATGTTATATATAAGCATTATTTTCATCGAAAGTACATCTAAACAATACTTAATACAATCACAAGGAAAACTCGCTCACAATCATATGATATATTACAAGCGAACTTACAGCCAATCAAAAACTTTACAAGGGATGCTGGAGAGAAGACAAACCTAACCACCATAGGTCCTTCTAGTATTAGGGATAGGTAAAGTATCAAGTTCAAAATCAGAATTATTATTCAAATGATTTGTATTCTGTAGTGTGTACCTGTGTTGTTTTGTCTGTTAATGAATCAAGTCATAATGTTGGTCCCATTCACGTGGTTAAACAAACACACAACAAACACATCTCCGCTCTTAGACTAACACATTTTCTTCATAGGTTTCAACTTCTAAACTCTTCTGCGGAAGTGGCACGTTTTATGGTAGCGTTGAATGAGTACACGGGGTCTCTTTTATGGATTCCAAATAGCTGGGCGATCAACACTAGCGTGACATTCACGACAGCTAAAGTCGTAAAAGAACATTCAAATCTCCATATGTTACTGAGTGACCCAGAATACTTTAGAAGAATAGGGGAGCATTGGAGAGTGGACCGATTGCTTTCAACAGGTAACACGCTTGGCGACGTTTGAATGATAGGCGTCACAATGAAGACGAAGTTTGCTTTAGAATTTATATCTCTGACCTTGTTACACCTCGTCTCGAACAGTAGAATCAAATAATCTTGACTGAACAAAAAAGCAAAATACTGGGCTGTCATCCCTCGGATAGATTTATGGTCTAAGTTGCTGCATGGCCTATACATTTATAGAGGGCGTTCGATCAGAGCTATGATGTCACAGAAAATATTGGCACAGTAGAAATAGCCTAGGTAGTACTAATGATAAAAGAAATGTCTAAAATATTAGTTTTTATTTATCAGGGCATGTTTTTGGCTCAAGACAATGTGCTATTCTTACCGTCTATGCTATTTCCACTGTGTCTTTATTTGTTGTGCCATTTTACCGCGGTGCACCCGTTTTACTGCATGCTTTGCGTGTATATGTTTTCCGAAGCGGTAAAAATTTGGGATGAAATATCTTCACTTACTAAGTACGTGTTGGATATCATTGTTGAATTCATTGTTACAGCCACAACATAATTACATTTGCTTGTTTGGTTATGTGTTATCGTAAAGCGATGACGGACGAGTATGTTGCAGTTAGCACAAGGCAGCGGCCATGAAGTTTATGCTTTCGTATTTGTATTAGACATGTCGTATTTCAAACTTTTATTCTGCTA